AGGGAGCGGGGACGGAGGGTCAGGCTGCTGACCGGCCCGGGGACAGGGCAGGAGGGAGCGGGGAGCGGAGGGTCAGGCTGCTGACCGGCTGGACGCCGATGCCCGTTTGTTCGAGCTTTCCCTGCTTATCCTCCTTCCTCTGAACCTGGACCACGAACCCTTTTAAAATAAATAAATAAAAACAAAAGGAGCAGGTTGGGGTGAACGTTTGGAAGAGTCGCTGGAAAACCCAGCCTGCAGCCTGGGGTTTTATTTAAGGAGGTTTTCCCGGAGACCAGCGCCCTGGCCTTCTCTGAGCGAAGGGCTGGGCGTCCACCCTCCGTGTCACAGAGGAAAAGGGAAGCCAAGGATGCCAGTGGGGGGCAGGGATGCCAGGGAGAGGGAGGTGGGGGGACAGTGGGCCTTAAGTTGGGGATGAGACAAAGGCCTGATCCTGGCCTGGGGCCCTCGAGGGCTCAGCGGGTGCCTGGGGAGGGGCAGAGGCAGCCCCCCTCCCCTTTGGCCAGAACAGGGGAGGCTCAGATCCAAACAAAGGGACTTGGAAGAGAAGCCAGGACTGCGGGCCGGCCCTTCAGGGGCAGCGCAGGGGCCGAGCCTGGTGAGGAATGTGGACTTTACCCCAAAGGCAGGACGCCTTTCAGACGCGGAGATAACAGAGGAGACAACAGGATCAAAGCTGAGACTCACAGAGACCGGCCGCTGAGCAAGGGCCACTCCCCGAAGCCCAGGGAGGCAGAGGGGACGGATGAGCGGTGCCCTGACCCCCCCGCCACCCCCCACACACACGGGAGGAGGCCCTGAGGGGGCCTGGACGCCGAGGCCTCGTTTCCTACAGGAACGTCCTATTGAAAGGCTCACTCTCCACTCTAAACAGCAACCTGCTCGGCAAAGCGGCCGAGCGTCCAGCGCCCAGGACGGGACGTTGTTGTCCCACAAACAGACCAGCAGAGACCTGCCTTTCCCTCCGTACGTCCCGGGGGGGACGCGCTACGAGGACATATGAGAGATAACAACGCAGTCAACAAACAAAGGGCACATCATCCCTGGGTCTCGGGGTGCCCCCCGCACCCCCTCCCCAGCCCCAGGTCTGACCGCTTTCCCGACAGACCCAGTGTCCCCAGCATTCCCCGTCCCGCCGGCGCCTCCACGCTCCCTGGGCACTGGGTTCTAATTCAGGGCGAACCGGGAGGCCCTGGGAGGAAGGAAACGCAGAAACCACTGAAGACAAGACTCGGCCTGAAGCGCACCTGGGCTTCCGGGTCCGGAGAGAACCCCCCACGCTGTGCGGCGAGGTGACCGTCAGGGGAGGTCGAAGTGCCCGCCCGTCCGTCCGTCCGTCTGTCCATCCGCAGAAAACACGACCATGCGAGCGCACAGAACGGAGGGGGAGGCTGTCCTCCTGACGCACCTCACCCCGCACGTCCGCATCATCACTCACCATGAACAACATGTTAGGGGTCAGGTCACACACGTGCACACAGATACTCATGTGTCTGGTCACCAGGATCCATGTCGCTCCAGTGAGGGGCCGGGGCGTCGGCAGTGGGAGCTGAGGGCGGGGGTTGGGGCACAGAAAGCTGTGGGTCCCCCGGTTTCCGATGAAGACGGTGCAACTGACGCAGGTCCCTGACTCCCTGTCCCTCCGTCGGCGAAGCAGGTGGCTGTGCCCTGGGCCCGCCTTTCCCCTTAAACGGCTGAGAACTCCAGTTATTATTTCTTTTCAAATATATTTTATTGATTTCAGAGAGGAAGGGAGAGGGAGGAGAGAGAAACATCAATGAGGAGAGGGGATCATGGATCGGCTGCCTCCTGCTCGCCCCACACTGGGGATCGAGCCCGCAACCCGGGCCTGTGCCCCGCCGGGGAATCGAACCCGGGACCCTTCCATCCGCAGGCCGACGCTCTATCCACTGAACCACACCGGCCAGGGCCCCGATTTCTTTCCCCCTCGGACATATGTGACCTGTACCCATCGTGTGAACCCTCCTGAGTGACCTGGATTGTTGGACAGCTTCGAAGAAGGTGTCATGGATTCATCCCACAGGAGCCTGGTCTGAGCCATAAGCCGGGTGCGCACCGGTGAGCAGACGGAGCAGGCGTCGGCGCTGGTAAAGTGGTTCGCACAGGCCCGTGAGCGGCTGGTCTCACGGCTCGCTGGGTCCTGGAGAGAACGGGACTCGGGGCTCCGTCCGGGGTGCGTTGGGGACGGGGGTGCTGGGCCCTGGGGCGCCAGCCTACGGGAGGCTCTCACGCCCGGACGGGGTGTTGGATACCAGCAAACCCACCCCTTTCCTTCCTCCCCGGTGAGGCGGGAGCCGCGGGTGCCACTCAGACGCGGAGGGGCCAGTTCTCTGGGGCCCACACCGCGGACCCCCTGTCTGCTGGGGGTGGAGACTGCGGGGTGAGCTCAAGGCTGAAGCTGGCCTTCGGGGTGTACATTCAAGCTGGTTCCTAAGAAGCAACAGACTCAGAAAAAACCTCTACCCTCCCCCTTCCCGGCCCAGACTCAGGGGAACCCGAGCAGGAAGGAGACGGAGGGGGCAGCCTGGGCCTGGCCTCATTAGGACGCAGTGTGGCCACCAGATGGCTGG